TACACACACATGGTTTGTAATGGCCTCTAGCCTCCAGCGTGCCCCTGAGCGCCGTCCCATGAGTTGGGTTCTCCAGATGCCAGCAACGAGCTGATAGGTGGACGGTGGCAGATTTAGGCCTTCAGGTTTTGATGTGACCCCCCCCCCCCCCCCCCACTTGGCCACACAAAGCCAAGCCTGACTGTACAGCTGTAACACATAATAAGCTCCTCTGTGTGCTCATTCATTCATCAAAAGGAGCTTGATCACATGGAGTTAATTGGCTGTAATTAAAATGTCTCGCGGTTTTCTTTAGCAGATGCAGTGGCAAATTCAGTCAAGGTGTACAACGGCAGCCTCTCGCTGACTGGTTGTTGTATTTCCTCGGTTGTCAAATCTGTTTGCCTCGGAGAAGATAGTTATAGAAATAGTTCCTTTGGTTTTTCATTTATGGTAGGACAGTGGCAGGAAAGAGTGTAAACTGTATTTTAATTTTATGAAAGTCAACAACAGAAAGTAGAATGACCAGAAATAGTATTTATTTATGCTTTATGAACCTGATCTGATCATCTATGATGTATAAGGACAAATCATCCTCCCAACGGGTATCATAGCCTCTGACAGCTGCTTCGGTTCCAGCTACAGCTGACAGCCAGGACAGCTGTGTGTGGTATGAGTGTGCGGACACGTTGGTGTGAGGTTTCACCTACACGCGTGTTTGTACCGAGCTCTCAGACCAGAATGTTGTCTGTTCAGCGTGTCAGCTGCAGTCTCAGTATGTGGCATGTAGCTTGTCAGCTGCAGACCCGTGTGGGTGACAGCTGTGTTCCCCACCCCCCTCCAGCTCCCTCGACCTTTGACTCTTTTGCATTCACCGGGAGGCCTTCCCTGTTCAGGCAGTGAATCAGCCACTTACTGTACAAACCATCTAAAGCTGAAATGAACGAGGGATCAGGGACGGTGATGATCAGTACAGTGACATCTGTCATACCCTGCCATGTATTCCCCAACAGATTCAAGCCTACAAGTGCTGAGCTGCAGGGACTGAGCAGAGAGAAACCCTGCCTGTCTTTTAATACATTTCCAGTTTTAGGGTATTAATGACGTGTGGGAGAAACTAAATGGCACAGCTTTCCGTTAATGAGGAAAGCCTCCAGACAGAATAAATTATCACACATTTGCAGCTTTGGAAGTCCGCCCTCTTTGCCCCCCCCCCCCCCCCCCCCCCCCCCCCCCCCCCAACAAGGGTGTGTGTGACACTCATTTACCCCACCTGCTGGCTAGATGACGACAACAGTGTGTGCACTATATATGTCATCAACTTCTTCATATCTGTGTGAGAGAATAGGTTTCCGCTAATACCTTTGGCAAATCAAGAGCAAATATTTCCCAATTCACAGGGCTTATTGTCTATTATAAGAGAGGACTAAACAACCTCTAGTAAAAGATGCTTAAACTGAGTGAGATTGCATCCTTTCACATCACTTTCAGAAATGATAAATGAGCCTGCGTCATGGCTGATTGTATTTTATCAGGTTAATGTATAGTTTTATTATACTTGTATGAGACAATTTGGAAAAGACTATTCTCTCAAAGATAAAAAGAACGCAAAGCTGCAAAAAATAACAAAAATAACCAGCACAAGGATGTTTAAGGAGGACTTATAGATTAACAAACATCACAAGCAAGACATTATTACATGACGTCATTTCCCCGTACAAGTCGATCACAAATGGTGTGAAGATGACATAAAAAATGACTTCCTGACTCAGGGGCGACAGGATAATTTGGGGAACAATATTTCTCACAACACCTGTCCTTATTTTTTCCCACTTCAAGCACTGTTCATGTAGTTGATTGTAAATAGCCTTGGGGGGGGGTAAAAGAATGAGGCTTTAAGTGATCGGAGGCTTGTGTGTAGCACATGATTGAATTGTGTGACATCAGAGGGGCTGATCAAAGTGTGAGGTCATGGTGTTGAGGGCTGCTGTACCAGGCTCCAGGCAGGAAGCGCTGCAGATCTTCACACTGGCTTGTGCAAACAACCACTATGGCAAAGACGTGTGTAAAATGATTTAACATCAAGAAAAATGACCCCATTGCAAATTAAGCTGACAGTTTAATAAATAAAATGTATCAATGATGATAAACTTGGTTAATAAGAACTGATTAGCAGATTGCACCACGTTGACTGAGTTCATTGTTTGCTTTTTCTTTGAAGGGTGACTGCATACACTCTAGCAAAGTTGAAACTAAATGTCCCTCACAATGAGCTCACTTGTTCACTTGGTCATGTTTTAGAGAATTTGGGATACAACAAAACAAACAAACAAATAACATAACACAATAGGAATGTGGAAGTGTAATATAAAATATGTATAGTACAACTTGAGAATGTAATTAAAGAGAATACTTGTGAAATAACTGAAATAATAATCACACAACCATCCATTAGAAAGCATGTTTTATTTTGTAGGTGAAGTGTGTTATTTGTTCCCAGCAGCTGGCTTCCAAAACCAAAACATCATCGATGTAGAGAACGTTTGTGCCAAACTCGAGCTGTGGCCATAATGATTACCAAAGCAAGCAACTGACCAACCAAATAACACTGTGTGTGTTCATAAGGCAGTGGGGCACAGCACTAGTGAGTAATAGCAGTGAGGCAAGTATCTTGGTCAGTTCCACATTCACTGTCATTATAGAAATATATGAGGATAATTGTGAGTCACACTTTTATTCATATCCTGTGATAAATGAGCTCAAGCATTCACACATAATTTTGATTTTATTGCATTTATTTGCATTAGGAAAAAGTAATATTGCATGTCCCAGAGAGGCTTTTTGAATGTTTTATTTATCCATGGTTAAATCCACCATGCATCTTTAAAAGAGTGCAATTGACTGTGAAAATATTAGGAGCTCAATGCATTCACCAGCTAATGTCATCAGTAAGTTATTGATTCAAGCAATTTACCCTTTTTCAATACAACTGGATTGAAAGCTTAATTGGTACAAAAGGCTTTACATAATCATCTCTACAGGAATCGAAGCAGGGGTTAAAGTCCAGCAGAGATCCAGCTGTAGAGATCTATCTGTAGAGATCCAGCTGTGGAGATCCAGCTGTAGAGATCCAGCTGTGAGATCCATCAGTAGAGATCCATCAGTAGAGATCCATCTGATGAGAGCCTTCTGTAGAGATCTATCTGTAGTGATCCAGCTGTAGAGATCTGTCTATAGAGATCCATCTGTAGAGATCCATCTGTAGAGATCTATTTGCAGAGATCCATCTGTAGAGATCTATCTGTAGAGATCCATCTGTAGAGATCTATTTTTTGAGATCCATCTGTAGAGATCCATGTGTAGAGATCTATCTGTAGTGATCTATTTTTAGATCCATCTGTAGAGATCTTTCTGTAGAGATCCATCTGTAGAAATCTATTTTTTGAGATTCATCTGTAGAGATCCATCTGTAGAGATCCATTTTTTGAGATCCATCTGTAGTGATCCATCTGTAGAAATCCATGTCTAGAAATCTATTTGTAGAAATCCATCTGTAGAGATCCATGTGTAGAGATCTATCTGTAGTGATCTATTTTTGAGATCCATCTGTAGAGATCCATCTGTAGAGATCCATGTGTAGAGATCTATCTGTAGTGATCTATTTTTGAGATCCATGTGTAGAGATCCATCTGTAGAGATCCATGTGTAGAGATCTATCTGTAGTGATCTATCTGTAGAGATCCATCTGTAGAGATCTATTTTTTGAGATCCATCTGTAGAGATCCATGTGTAGAGATCCATCTGTAGAGATCTATTTTTTGAGATCCATCTGTAGAGATCCATGTGTAGAAATCCATGTCTAGAAATCTATTTGTAGAAATCCATCTGTAGAGATCCATGTGTAGAGATCTATCTGTAGTGATCTATTTTTTGAGATCCATCTGTAGTGATCCATCTGTAGAGATACACGTCTAGAAATCTTTTTGTAGAAATCCATCTGTAGAGATCTATCTGTAGAGATCTAGCTGTAGAAACCCATCTGTAGTGATCAATATGTAGAGATCCATCTGTAGTGATCTATTTGTAGAGATCCATCTGTAGAGATCAGTCATTGGGAAAAGACAAGGCAAGAATAATTCAGAGATATGAATATGGTCGGACATTTTGAAGCTAAACAAAATCAGGAAAAGGACTCTAGATCTCTACAGGCACAAGGCTGTTGATAATCTGGCCCCAGAGACAGAGACTGAGGAGAGTGTGAATAGTGCAGCACACCAGAGAGACAGGGAGATAATTAGGCAAGGCTCAGGTGAGCCTAATAAGGCTGGTTAGAGAAGATGATGTGCAGAATGAATGCCTGGGAGCTGAGGGAACATCTAATTTGTCTGAACCAAAAATCAGCCGAATGTCACACAATAGCTTCGTTTCCACTACAGGAACTTCAGGGTAGATGTACAGGAACCTCCTGATGTGCGTGTCTCCACTTTACCGGAAATGCATACAGGGCAGAGAACCGGCATTTAGGAAAACACGCGTTGTTGGCACGTTCTACGCCAATCGGTGACGTAACTCACAACGCAGCGGTCAGGATGTGCTGGAGTTTTAGCACATTCCTTACAGGGCCAAACTGTAAATGGAGACAGGACAGCAAAGAGGACTGGGCCTTCGAATCTCCTGGTCAGTGTCCCCCTCGCTGCATTTACCCTGAAGTTCCAGTAAAGGAGACCTGTACAACTGACTGAAGTGGAACCGTTTTTTTCTGGAGTGTCGTGTTCTTGTGTCGGCCATCCTGACTCCAAAACTCCAAAAGTAGATCAGTTGTGGATTTTGCTTTGGTCATTAATTTTTAAGTTTCGTTAAAATTTCTTTAGGAAATATCTTGCTAACAGATAAACAACATTGGTTCCTATAGTTAATGGAAAAGTCTTACGTTTCTTATGTATGGTTTATTTACTCTGAATGACTCAACTACTCTGACACCAAATCTTAACCTGGTTTATGAAACACTCACTGAGTTAGAGCAATTTACCGTATTTTCCAGAGTATAAGTCGCTCCGGAGTATAAGTCGCACCAGCCATAAAATGTATAATGAAGAAAAAAACGTATATAGGTCGCACTGGACTGTAAGTCGCATTTTGGGGGGGGAATTTTTTTTTTCTTATAAAATCTGAGACCAAGCATTTCACATTGCAAGACAAGTACCTGTAACAATAACAGAATAAACAACGCAGGCGCAGCAGCGCGCCACGGTCTCCAGCAGAGGATAGCGGTGTTTGAAACCCTCCCAGCGGGACAGGGGAGCTCATCCCTGGGTCGGAGCCTCCCGGCCCGCAGCAGCTCACCACATTCTCCAACAGGTGATGGCAGGGCAGAGGAGCTTATTCCTGGTCCGGACCCGCAGCAGAGCGGTATACATAATTTGGTATATAAGTCGCTCCGGAGTATAAGTCGCAGAACCAGCCAGACTATGAAAAAAAAGTGCGACCTATAGTCCGGAAAATACAGTAGGTATTTATTTGTGATTAGCTGTAGCGGCTATGTTGAACTGAGTTGACTTCAGAGGTCAGCCATAGATGTGTATCCATGAAAAACTCACTGAGTTAGAGCAATTTACCGTATTTTCCAGAGTATAAGTATGATATAATAATTATTATTTACTTACTTAGTTTCCTTTAAATCCATTAAGTAATTCATGACATATATGTACAAACACATGCAAAGACTTTTTTGGCTGCCGTTTGTGTTTGAGTGGTGGATAAAACCTAAAGAAACATAAATGTATGCCGGATTAACTCAGTTCTCCAGTTATTTCTAGTTTTCCTACAGAGAACAACCAGTGGGAATGTCTGGTCTCTTCAGGAAATTGCTCCTACATCCCAGACAGTGTGACAGACAGTTCCACACCCTTTCCAGACAATAAAATAAAATATGTAGAAGAAAAAAATAGGAAAATATGAAAGCTTGTTTTAGAAGAACTCTTTTAGAAGAAGAAGCATTTTAGAGGTTTGTTTCAGTGTTTAGTGTTTGGATACGACTGTGTTTACATGAAGGCGAGTCGGAGCCTCTGTAGCCAGGGCCTCATGGTTCTGTCCTGCCCTCTCTTACACTCTGAGGCAGTGTTTTGGACCGGGGCCCAGGACCGAGCCTGAGGCACCCTGCTCTGCTCCAGCCTCTCTGGAGCGCCGACTCTCACTGACATTATTACATCAGCCCAGGAGACAGAAGACTTCAGTGTGTGTGCCGGCGCTCGGATGCTCCTCTCAGCTTGTTGGTTTAGAACACAACAAAGTGGCTGAAAGCGTGAAGCGTCATTGGTCGCGGTAGAAGTCTTCCAGTAGAGACGAGCAGTTCTCAGTCATGGCCCTGCGCATCATACGTGGAATGGAAGACCTGGTGGCATCGGGCAGCCAGGTTGTATGGAGCCTGGCTCATCAGACACTGAGGAGGTTGTACAAGCATGGGCTGATGCCATGCAGGCGCCTCCTGGAGTCCTGGTTCAGGATAGGAAAGTGCTACCAGGTAGGTCAACGTTTAAAGAGGCAGATTAAAAGGTTTTTTTTTTCATTTGCGATACCAAATTTCACTCCTTTGGCTCAACTTTCCCCTTAACTTGCACTTTTTCCTCCTTTGGCTCATTAGTGTGAGCCATGTTTATTGTAAGGAGGCACAGGCTGCTGCTTGGTGACTCACAAAACATGGTTTTTAACAAGGGACCCTTTCCCCACACACATGGCAGTCATTTGAAAAGCAGCATGAGAGGCTGTTTGATCTCACTGTCTGGTAAAGGAGAACGTTCAAAGTCCTGTTTGAAAATGTCTTCTTGCTGAAACACCTGAATGCTGCACGCTTCTTGAGTTGAGAGTTGCAGGATTTCTCCTAGTTTGCGCTTTCTCTGCATGCTGCTGTGTGAAGAAAGAAAATAACAATCTCTTTTGACGTCTTTTAAAAAGCCACAAACACCCTGGAGTTAAAATAGTTTTCAACGCAAAGAAAATGAACCAATCAAAGTATTGAACCTGCTTAAAAAGCATAAAACAGGTTAAAGCATCGGTAAGCAGAAACGTCTGCTGTGTACATATAATTGATCTAAATACTGTTATCGCTCAGCTGGTGGTTCCCAGGAGTTCAGATCTGCTCAGAACTGTATGGTGGGCCTGCTTGAGTCTGGTCGGTCAGCAGTACCAAGAAGAGCTCAAGCGGGTCATGTCATGGACAGAAAGTTTCACAGACACTGAGCTAAAATCTGATGTCATAATATCCCCATCATATAGTCTGAGTGCTAAATTATATAAAGTTATTATATAAAAGCTCTAACTCAGTTGTATAGGTAAAGTTTGGCGCCAGTGCCATGTTAGCCAGGAGTACGCCACATCACACACTCTGAGCGCTACACATTGCATAAAATCTTTGCTTAAAACGTTGCCATTCACTTTTGAGTCAACCACACTTGTCTGTTAGCAAATGAGGATGGATTTTAATGATGCTCAGAAAATTGTCTGACTTACATTCGCTAACCTCTGCAAACAGAAAAAGAGCTACAGCAGAGCTCTTTAAACTCATTTTCTCCTCTTCTACATGTCTAGTTTGATGACATCAATTTGGTGAGACAAACATCTGTAGTCCTGGACGTCTTTGCAAACAAAACCTAAAAACAACTTCCAAAATAAGTGCCTTATTGGAATCAGAATCTATCTTTAAATCTGACTGACATCACATGTGAAATCCCCGGCCCACAACAAACAGGATTAGAACATAGCTTTTATAGCCCTATTGACTTGCATCCATTTATTCTTTTTTCTGGGGACCCATGGTCTGGAAGCAGATGGGTGTGATTTAGGCTCCCTATATTGTATGAAACTGCCCGTTATCTAAAAGGGCTGTAACTGCATTATGTAAAGGATGGGTTGTTTACATCTTACTTACGAACCATAAAATGTGAGATTCCATAGAAATATGAAATATCAATCTGATGGATCTTTGACTATTTTAACCAGAAGATCAGAACTTTTTATTGCAGGGATTAAGTGACACTTCGTATTAACCCCGAAGAAAGAGAGAGTCAGGCTTATAATAGTTAAGAGATTTATTTCTACACAATTTAAACAAGACTGACTTAAACACTCTGTGTAGTGATGGACTAAGGTGGAATGAGACGTGCGATGAATGATGTATATGTGGACTGTTGCTATCAGAACCAGCGGATCCGGAGAAGCATTTAGTTCTGAGTGGGAGTGAATGTTTAGCTCTAAACTACGGTTGGAGATTTAAAACACACATGAGACGCCATCTGTCGGTCTACGTACCCAGGGGAAGCCTCCGTTTAGATCCAGAATGTCGAGGTCTTCTCGGACCCTGCTTGGAACCAAAGCCGGTAGAAAAGCAGCGGTGCTGACCAAACTAGTCTTGGAATGCTTCCAGGTCACGACAGCTAATTTTGGCATTGGCGAGACCCTGAAGGGGTCGTGAGGTTCATCTTTTATTCTGAAGGAACCGTTGCAGTCAGGTGTAACTTGCAACAGATTTTATCCAGTTTGTCGAGGTTCTTTTGGCTGAAGAGGAAGTCCGGATGGCTGGTCCAAGACTTCTAGAACACTTTGAACTAAAGAAAAGGTGGCATGGAATAGTTTTTATAATTGTCTTTTTTTGGTTTACTGGCAAATAGGGCAGCTCAATTAATCGAATTTTAATCCCAATTACGATCTGAGTTTTGAACGATTATTATAACAAAACTAGCCGATTATTTGCTCCTCCCACTTGCGCTGCCCTGAGTTGCAAATGAAGCGCTCCTCCCACAGTGTTGCCAACTTATCGACTTTGACGCTATTTCCAACAGGTTTTCAGACCCCCTTCTTGACTTTTTAAATCTCAAAAGTATCTAGCAAACACCTGAGAAACGTCTCTGGTAACCCTTAGCTACTTTCTGGATAACTGTCGTCGACGTTTCCTGCAGGTTAGCTAAACAATCCGCCTGCGCTCCGGACCGTTCTTCACATTAGGAAAGGGAATGATGCAGTGATGTGTCAGTTGCTAAAGAAACAGCTCTCAGAGCCAGCTTCCTGTTGGATTAACCAGAGTGAGTGACACACAGTACCTGCGGGCTCCTGAGCCGCTAAAAACGGCTAAATGTGCGTGTGCAGCACGCTAAACACACGTGCAGGTTGCCCCTGATTGCTGTGAGACCGGGTTGGGGGGTGGGGGGTGCAGCTGTGGTTGGGACAATTATTACATCAACTGATGGACCGGTAAATAAATAGTTTATAAATAAGGTAGAAATAACTTCCTCACGCTGATAAATAATAACTAATCTCTCTGAGGACACGGTGCTAGTGTACTCTCCTACAGCACCTTGACACGACTACATAAATGTTATGCAAAATGTTGTGAACATCAATTTATTTGCATTTATTTGTTAAAAATGCCACTGTATAATTCTTGCTGTCAGTATTTGTAAGATATTGGTATTTGGGTCTATACGGGTTATACTTAAATGAGTTAAACAAAGGTCTGTAGCCCTTGGGTCATAAACTATGAGCTGTAAGTATATTGGTCTTTTTATACTATAGGAATCAGGAGTTATTTTAGTGATCATCTTCTTTCCTATTTATTTTTGTCCCGATTGTGCCCTGAGCAATTTTATGACTGAATAAAAACAAATAAAATCAACATAAATTGAAAAATCGTCTTAAATAATCAAGATCTCAATTTCAGTCACAATAATTGTGATTATTATTTTTGCCATAATCGAGCAGCCTAACTGACATGCAAAACAGGGTTTATACAAAAAACACAGAAAACCACGCCTCGCATCAGAAACTAAGGTTCTGATTGGCTCAGACAAAAGAAAATGTGTCGTGTGACTTAAGCATTACGTATCATCAGTGTCTAGTGCAAATGTCCAAGATTATAATTACTTGTAAAATACTACTGATCACAGGATTATAATATCAAGTAATAACATTGTCATTTCACAGATTGATTGAACATTGGGCTCACATTATTATTGGTAATAACAAAGTTGTTGATTATGTGTTTATCAAGAGAGTTCTTCGTCTTCGTCTTGAGCTGTAACTGAGGTGAAGCAGTTCAGATGCAGAGGTCATGAAAGACCTTGGCCACTATCTCGTATAGATTAGCCTGTCAGAGACTTTATGTCTCTGCTCGAGCAGACGCAGCAGATCATGACCTTTAGGTCAAAAACAGGACAGTCATGACGCAGGCAAGGCAGCAGCTTTGTATTCCATTCAGGAAAGTTATATATTTCATTTATTTAGCGCTTTTGTCTCCTTTCTCCCTGTTTTGATGCTTGAACCGCACGTTACCTGGACAGACAACAACCCACATTACAGTTTCTGTACAAGTGAGGGAGAAGTTAGAATATGGTGCAAAAGTCCATTTATTTCGGTAATCCAGCTCAGACTGGCAGACCGTTTAAAACTGCAATAGCAATTTTGGAAAACAAATGAACTTAAAACAACAACGTTCTAACATATTATAGGTATAATATTTTGTGGGGATAAAAGAACAAACTAATTAATGAAGTGGTTTTCTCGTATTTGTCTAAAAACCTCCACCAATAACACGTTTTGGACCCTCCAGTTGTTGCTTTCACCAAACCCTCTCACTTCCCTGGGTCCATCACTCCTTATGCACCACACTGGTGTGAGAGGTTCTCCGCTCACCATTCGTAGTCACGGACAACTAAAGATGTTTGGACATAGATAATGACAACAGGTGTTTAGCGCTTTCTTGTTTCCTCTGACAATGTGTGTTTCCGGTTCTGGCAGGACCTAAGAAGATGAAACCTAGGGTGAAACCTAGCTTGTTCTGTAGATTAGCTATAGCAGCTTTAAAGGCTCAGGTGCCCTCTGCAGGTGTTATGGATTCACCCCCCCCCCCCCCCCACCACCACCACCACCACCACCACCACCCCCACACTCCCACCCCCAGACCATTACATTTGAGTAACCCTGGTCTAGAATATTGAACCTTTTCACAGCATTTTGATTATCTGAGATGTAGGATGTAAGGTTTTCATAAGCTGTAATCATCACAATTATAACAAATACAGGCTGAAATATCTGGACTTACATGGAATGACTCTATCTCATAGATTAGTTAGAACTTTTGCACCTATTTCCGATTTTTGGAATTTCACTTGTAGACTTCTCCTTTTTACTTGATGCACTGTCATTCACAGTTATTTAGATGAAGGCAAATCACAGACGTACTTTTTTACGGTTTTCCTTTAAGATACCTTGTTAGTGACAAAGATTCTTGCTTCCACTGATTCTGTGACGGAGTGAGCTTAAAAACGCCTCACGCGTGTAGCTTCCAGTGTTCAGACATCTGATGTTTGCCGTTAGCATCCCACAAAGCTATTATAACTCTAACCCAAGTCCTTTGTTGAGCCCTGCTCGGTTAAATCTTGTTGAGGTTCAGGGCGTTGTCACACAACAAAGTGGAAAAAGCGGCTCATGCTGTGTAAAAGTGAAATGACAGCTTTGATGTGGACTTGGGAACAAAATGACACTGAAGACAAAAGTTTAAGACCAGACCAGAGGGCGTCCTCCTGTCCTGCCATCCTACCAACTGGACCCTGAGTTTCCATCACAGACTCCAAGAAGTTTGATGCCACGTTTTTCACTGAAGTCATACAAATAACACAACACATATTAGGGAATCAGTCTGCTATCAGCCAACACAGCATATTGTTTTATCTTTTATTATTCGTGGTTCTATTGTTTGAAGTTATTACACAGAGGTCATTCTAAGTCCCTTCCAGTAAACGGAAAATAGCAAAGGAATCTAAGAAAAACAGCTTCCTTGGTTCTTTTTCTTATTAATACAATGTGGCTCACTCATAAATGACTAAAAGTAGTTTAGAAATATATTATTAATTAATCCGTAACACTTATAAATCATTAATAAATGTTTGTTATGCATTAATTATGGCTGGGAAAGAGAGAAAACTGACTGGTTTCCTGCAAAATACTGAGCCAGACAGGTCACCCTTAAAGATGTGTTTATTTTTCATTGATTAGCATTAAAATATCACAATGTGATTGAAGTAAAGGCTGTCACAGACAGAGTAACACACAAACAAGGCCAATTAAAAGGTATTGGCTGAAGCACATGCTTATTATGCCAACCCCTTTTTCAATACTGTTTAATATAGTTCATGTACACAAGGCTTAACACCAATGGGAAGAACAAAACATATCTAAACAAAAAAACAAGATTAAATTAGCTTTCCACCAAATTTATACATTAGGCTAATTTAATAACATCTTGATAAAAAATATATACATGAAAGGCCAACGTTTCTATACTATTATCTTGTACCTTTCATTCGTGTTTTATATATTCTTCTAATAATCTAGTTTTCAACATATTTTAAACACAGAGTGAGCTACATCTTTTTCAATCATTTTCATAACTGTTCCACAAATTAACTCCTCTAACAGAAACACATCTCTGTTTTATATTCGTCCTTGTCTTTTTCTTTTTAAATAATCAGTTCCCATTAAGTCGTACTGACTGGTTCATTGAAAACCATATTTTAATTTTTTTTATTGAAATCAGCCACTCTGAGTTTAACATGCAGGCTGAACATGAAAATAGTCTCCTACACCTATCTCCTGCATTAGCTTCTGATAGAAAACAGACGGTAAAACTCTAGGATTAGAAAAGCCTGACAGATCTACGTCACGCTGTCACTTAACATTCATGGACTCATCCATCTTGACTCACGACGGGGAAGGCTGTTGTTGTTTAGCATCCAGGAGACAGCAGAGAATGTATCGGTTAGTAGAAGCTAACCATTAGCATTAGCAACTCCACCACGTGGCAGAACTCCTCCAGGCTTTTGTTATTTGTGGAGATAAAACATTCACGTTGCAAAGAAAATGAAGTAGGGCTGAAATGATTCCTCGAGTACCTCGAATAATTCGAGTACAAAAAAGCCTCGAGTCAAGTTCTCTGCCTCGAGGCTTCGTTTAAATTATGTTTAATTAATTCATGGTTTTGCAATAGCCCGGGGTCATGTTTCACCCGGACCGAAATAAGTGACGCACATACACACTGCACTGAATGCCCACGCGAGTAGCGAATGTAACTTGGACCTCGGTGGAGTGCGAAAAAGACAGAAAATGTCAAAGGTGTGGGACCATTTTTCACGTGGTAAGGTGGAAAACGTAGTCCAGTGTAAATACTGTAAAATGGATTTAGCCTAGCACCACACCACATCCTCCATGCTGCAGCACCTGACCAGGAAACATCCACATGTAAATGTCTCTTCTGCAAGCGGGCTCGGAGGTCTGCTATATATTCTGTGGACACTGTTTGACTTTTTCGTTTGTAGCACTCAGTTTCAGCTCACACTGTGTGTCTGGTAGCAACACGTTGGACCTGAAAATGTGCTAAAAATAACAGTTTTTACACAACACGTCGGACTTTTTACTGTGTTGTTATTGATCTCTGTTGTCCCTCAGGATTGCTGCAGGAGGACGCAGGTATTTATGAGAGTGGCGGAGGAAAACGAAAGAAAGTAAATAAATGTTTTGTGATCAGTATAATTTGACATAACCACGGCAAACCTGCTTTCTCGACAATCCTTGTTATTGTGTGAGAAAAAAGTGTAGAAATTAAAACGGACGTGTGTTAATAGGGAAACAGCTGCCGAGCCATGTTTGCGCATGCGCCGTGAGCGGTTGTTGTTGTTTGGGCCGCAGCCGCTCGCAGCGCTACCGCAACAGTCCTTGTTTTTGTCTGGCTTGCAGGCTGTTTGATTCTCGCACAAGGATAAAATCGGCTCAGGCTGTATACTGATTTTTTGCACAGGCATTTGTTTACTGTGAAGTAAAGTTGAAGTGCTGAAGTTTTGACAACTAATTTTGAATAAAACTTGAAGAATACCTGCTTGCTCATTTTAAGAGGTCTTTCATATTTTATAACATGCATAATGGTTTACAAACACAAAAGGGTAATTTATTAGAGTACTCGATTAAACGATAAAAGATTCGATAGAGTACTCGATTACAAAAATATTCGATAGCTGCAGCCCTAAAATGAAGTCAGTGGTAGAGTTGTGTTGCTGTTAGCCAATCAGAGGTGAGATGTCGAAATATCGGGAAATAAGACTCCAAAACCTGTCCTCCAAGGCTCAACTATGATGATACTCTCTTCTAGTTCCTGGAAATGGTGCACTGGTATCCCCCCCCCCCCCCGACCAATTAAAAGACATTCATTCTGACTGGAGACTGCAGATGTATTGATTAAATGAGTGTCCGACACTTTTAACAAATGCATAATAAACACTTAGTAATGATTTGGACTGGATTGTGTTTTAGTTTAGTTTCTTCACAAGAGATGACAACATTTGGTGGCTATAGGACACATTAGAATGCTGCTTTCTGGAATATGAGAAACATTTCCATGGCTTTCTTGGTAGTTTTCATCATTTCATTCAGCATACAATCAAACAAACCACATCACTGTCCAGCTCCTGAAGAAGAATCCAGCGTTTTGTATAGTTTAAACTGTAACGGGGACAAAACATGCAGGTGAGGGTGGAGACTGTGTTGTTCCGGGCTTATCTTGCAGAAGCTTTCATGCTTCGTTTCATCTTCTGTCTGCACAGATGACTGAAGGTCGTCTGGCCCAGGTTCACCTTCTCGATGGCAGGAAGCTGGAGCTGCTGGTTCAGGTAGCTTTAGTTTCATTTCTTTTTCACAAAAAATGTTTTGTGAGTCAGAAATTATGCAAACTTTTTCTCTATGTAATAATTTTTATTCAGTTGTAATTTCTAAGTTTTTCTTGTGTTTCACTCTGAACCCTCCAGCCTAAGCTGTTGTCCCGGGAGCTACTGGATCTGGTGGCCTCACATTTTAACCTGAAGGAGAAAGAATATTTTGGGTTGTGCTTCATAGATAACAAGTAAGCACACCTCGGCATGCTTAGAGATGGAAAATTCAAAGGATGACAAAGAAAATTGTAAGAATGTTATTTATTATTTCACCCCTACCCAGTAGCCAGAATAACTGGCTCCAGCTGGATCGTAAAGTCCTCGACCACGACTTCTCTAAGACTTCAGGGCCACTGGAACTCAAGTTCCTCGTGAGGTAAGTGCAGTTTCTGGAAAATATAAACAAGTGAATGGCATTATCCAGCGAATAAACCACTCTGGTGGTCGAAATTCTGTTTTGAACATCAAGAAACTGCTGCAGAATGAATTTCCACCCTAGACCATCGACATATAAAGAGTTGTAACATGTCCAAACCAGCAGGTGGCAGTGATGTGTCAGACAAAGAGTTGCTGTTTGAAATCAAAACAAGTTATCTGTGGATAATGCTAAACATCCCTGTGAATGAATGCTTTGATGTTCTGTTTCCTCACAGGTTTTATGTAGAGAAGATCACCCTTTTGAAAGAAAACACAACAGTGGAGCTCTTTTTCTTAAACGCTAAATCTTTAGTGTTTAATGTAAGTATTTTTTCACTGCTTGAAGATGCTATTTCACTGAAATCTTGACAGTCTTATCCTTTTTTACTTGACGACACCTTTCTAAAGGTCACTTTAGAGAGATAAAAGAACATGTGAAAATAAACAACAATTAAGAGTAAAAGCAGTTCATGGGAGCTGTTTGCCTACTGATGACTAGATAATTTATTTGACTAAGATGAAAGAATGTGTCAAAAATTTGAAACAAAGCCTAGATTTGTGTATTTTATTCATCATACCCTGTTAAAAGGTTACTTTTGCACAAAGATACTGTTTTTGCTAATTTCTTAATTTATCTGGCAGAATTAGCACATATTAAAATATAATCAAATGAAAATAATAACTTTAAAATTACAAGACAAAAAAGAAAATATTATTACTACGACTACCACTATTACTACTACTACTTCTGTTGCTGTTATTAATAATAATAACATTGTTATAATTTGCTCATATTATTTGGACGTAGTACAGTATGTGCATTGTATAGTATTGAATGTGTTTCTGCTGCATAGTCGCGTTTGCCAAATCTTATAAACTACAAGACTCTGGGAGTAATCAAACTACTCTCGGAGTTCTCCGTTTCTAGTGTTATGCTGCGTTCAGGGACAATACTTAATGTTCAGATATTTTGCTAACGACCCAGTTTTACCCATAGGTTTTACCTTATGAAGTTTGAGTTCTGAGATCTTAAGCGTTAAGATGTCTAAGTCGTTGAAAGGGAAATTAAAACCGAGTGAACGCTTGTAGCAGTACAAGAGCAGTTAGTTGTTACGCAGAAGGAGGAAGGGAGTTGTAGCGTTTACAAGTTCACGTGAAGGCAGCATGAGATCAAACGTTTCGGCAGTGCAGTTTTTTTCGCGGGGAGAGCAGACTGGTCACCATGGGAGACGGAGACTGTTGAACCTGCTTTGGGACCGTACCACTTTCCTGAATCGGGCTCTAACTTCAGACGGGATCCGAAAGTATCTCCGCACTCAGCTCCGTACGTTTTCCTTCATAAAGTAAGTTGTGGGATTATTCAAAATAAAAAAAAATAAAAAATAAAAAAACACGTATTCGCTCCGTTTCGTTAACATTTTTAAACGCCGCTGTTCGGTGGTGGTAGAGTCGGTAACGGTGGGACCGAGGTACGGATTGGAAGTATGGGGTTGTCTCTCGAGTCAAGTGTTTCGGATACTCGGCGCTCTCTTTGTGGCTTTCTTTTTAATCTCCTGCCTCTTTTGCCAACAGGAAACTATCGAAGTGGAGAGCGAACATGTTTTCAAGTTAGCCGCTTTCGCACTGCAGGTAAGGAAGCGTTTTGTCGCAGCCCCTCCTGGCTGTAGAAAAGCCACTCACCCCTAAACGAGACCGAGGACCGACGCTTCAGGCCACGGGACGTTCCTGGGAAACGTCTGTCTCTCTCTGTCTCGCGGGTGTTTTCCTCTAGATTCACTTTGACCTCTAAAACCTTTATGAAGAGACCTCCGTGTAGTGTAAATATTAGCTAAACTATTAGATTCATGCTGAAATGAAGAGATCAACACACACCTCAGTTTTTGTATATTTTCAGAAAAATTCACGTTTTCATTATTTAGCACAGATTAGTCAAAATAAATTTAGGTTATTTTAGTGAAAAATACAGTCCTTTTGTTTATATTGAATCATGTTTACTAACTGAACTGATTTTCTGTTTTCCAAGGAGGCCAAAGGAGAATACACCAGGTAAGTTCTTTGGTTTGGATTATAGTTGGTTAACTTCCTTTATAATTTATTCTGAGTAGGGGAAACCAAATTTAACCTGGGTAATTTTATTATCAATGACGTATGCTTATAAAATGTAATTATTGTACAAACAAAACAGCCAGAAGTATTAGTTTTCCAGCCGCAGTTTTGTTTACTTTCTTATTAGGTTTGTTTATGTAAGTATGTATAGTTCATCCTTTTATCACTTGTTAAATCTCTTACATGCAGTTCAACACCTGATACTTTTTAAGGAACAAATATCCAACAGGCTGATTTTACTCTCTAGGATGAAAACACGGTGAATATGTGTCATTTTGTTTTTTCAAGTGGATAACAGAGTTTTACATTACAGCATCCTTCAAACATTCAGAAAGTGTATGATGTGAAGTGGTTTTGAAGAAAGTTCTTTCTCAGTTGGGTGCGATTAACACTGTTAGGATAATGAAGCTAATAGTCAGATTCTTTTAAACAAACAATCTTGTATTTTAGCTGTTCAGTCTCACCAATAACCACAACATTAGAAAAGTTTGCTGATTATGGAAAGCAGATAAAGTCAAACGTTTCGATGTTATCACTTACGCTTTCTGTCCTAATGTGCTGCAGAAATATTTGCTTCATCGCTGTAATAGAAGTTGTTGTAAAATCACTCCACAAACTTAGTTTCTAACAGTGTAGAAAATCTCCAGTGTAGAGCCCTGCACTGGGACCATGTAGGTCCCCGTGAGTGGGTCCCCTTGAGTGGGTCCCTGTGAGTGGGTCCCCATGTGTGGGTCCCTGTGAGTGGGTCCCCATGTGTGGGTCCCCATGAGTGGGTCCCCGTGAGTAGGTCCCCGTGAGTGGGTCCCCGTGAGTGGGTCCCCATGAGTGGGTCCCCGTGAGTAGGTCCCCGTGAGTAGGTCCCCGTGAGTGGGTCCCCGTGAGTGGGTGCCTGTGAGTGGGTCCCCGTGAGTGGGTGCCTGTGAGTGGGTCCCCGTGAGTGGGTGCCTGTGAGTGGGTCCCCGTGAGTGGGTGCCTGTGAGTGGGTCCCCGTGATTGGGTCCCCGTGAGTGGGTGCCTGTGAGTGGGTCCCCGTGAGTGGGTCCCCGTGAGGGGTGCCTGTGAGTGGGTCCCCGTGAGTGGGTCCCCGTGAGGGGTGCCTGTGAGTGGGTCCCCGTGAGTGGGTCCCCGTGAGGGGTGCCTGTGAGTGGGTCCCCGTGAGTGGGTGCCTGTGAGTGGGTCCCCGTGAGTGGGTCCCCGTGAGGGGTGCCTGTGAGTGGGTCCCCGTGATTGGGTGCCTGTGAGTGGGTCCCCGTGATTGGGTGCCTGTGAGTGGGTCCCCGTGAGTGGGTCCCCGTGAGTAGGTGCCCGTGAGTAGGTCTCCGTGAGTGGGTGCCTGTGAGTAGGTCTCCGTGAGTGGGTCCCCGTGAGTGGGTCCCCGTGAGTAGGTCCCCGTGAGTGGGTCCCCGTGATTAGGTCCCCGTGAGTAGGTCCCCGTGAGTGGGTGCCTGTGAGTAGGTCTCCGTGAGTAGGTCTCCGTGAGTGGGTCCCCGTGATTAGGTCCCCGTGAGTAGGTCCCCGTGAGTGGGTGCCTGTGAGTGGGTCCCCGTGAGTGGGTCCCCGTGAGCGGGCGGTTGTAAGACCGCAGCAGGCGGCCTGATATGGATCATTGATCCCATGATTTTTTATATGTGTTATGATTAAGACAGGAGTGTATAAAACTAACCCCGCCATTCCACAGGATGCATATCCGTCTTGTCACATCAGCGAAGCGTAATACGCTGTTAATAACGTTCTAGTGGTTGTCTGTTAACCGGCACGGAGCGGCACATCTTGAATGCGTCACAGAAGCGTGTCGCGTTGATCTGCCAAAATTGCGCTTTTGATCTGTTAAGCTTCCAGAATGCATCAAGCTCAGCAGTTCAGACCGGGCCAGACAAAAGGTCAAACAATGGAGCAGTGCAGAGCATCTGGCAACTCTCAAAACTAAAGACTCGTGTACATTTCCAGTTGCTTAACTAGTAAGAAAAAATATGTCATTACCTATGGAAAGAATAGAGGATTGACATATGGAAAAGTTTGTTCTCCTGAAATAAAACATTCCCCCAATATGACCAAATTTTATTTAAAGCATATAGTTTCTGTTTCTTTTATTAGTTATTGGGTCTGCAGGTGGAGGCGGTGTTGGACGCAAAATATGCAGAGCTGAAACGGGCTGCAGGTCATGGTCAGAAAGTCAGCGAAAGCTGAGTTAAAACAATAATCCCGCACCTGTTTGCTGGGCAGTTAAAGACTTATTGATCACAGTCACCATATACAGTTTTAACAGTAAATTCAACTTAACTCATTCACTGTCATTGACGACTAAAGTCGTCATTTAAAATCCAACTGTTCACTGCCGTTTGCATTTTTTTACTGTGTGGGCATCGGAATGAGCCCCCACACCATGAGAACAAACATCCCATCTCTAAAGCCGATCTCCATCTGCATACGTCTCATGTCACATGATCAGGAAGCAGAAAATCCATGTGATAGGAGATAGTTTTGGGTTGCTGCTGTAAAAAAAAAGTGAGGCGCGAACCGGAAAAGCTTCTGCCGATCACAATTCGACAATGGATTATGAAAGAACGGATAAAGCTCGAAATGCGTGGATTCTTCCTGATGTAAGAGGTAAGTCTGCTTTGTTTTGGTTGTTTAGGCGGCGACATAATCCAAGCGCGCAATGTTCTGTGACTCTTATAAAAACAGTGAAAACGATGAGAAATGCTGGCAGCGAAGGCCTTTACCGATCAGGAAACCGCTGACAGTGAATGAGTTAAAAAGGTATCACTAACTTTCCTACTAACTATAGTAAATGTTACCACCATAGCCAATACAACAGTTCATCCCGTTTCATGATGTAGAATCAGCATCTGAATAAAACCTCTCCACCATCTGATTGGTCTGTTGTGGTACGCTACAAGGAAGCACAGTTTACTCATATAAATAATGGCAGCCTGTTAATGTACAACTTGACTGGCTCGGAGTTGGTTTCACATTGAACCTTTAGTTAATAATTGTCTCTTTATTTATTTATTTTTAACTTGTGACATTGAACGCCACAGCTGCTGGCCGGCTGCCATAGACCATACTGTGTTTTAAAGTCTGAATTTCTCCGCTGTGCTCTTGGCCGCTAAAGCAGATTCACCAAGTTTTAATATCAAACACGTTTACCATCGTCAGCTTCTTCTCAGAAGTCGTAGTTGCATCATGTCTCGATAGATGTCCAAAATATTTTGTACTTGGTGTGGTTGATGATGCCGGTTTGGGATTTGAATCACCACTGAGTGTTTATTGGTGGTGTCTTTTAGGCCTGTTTATAGGGTTCACAACCTCCTGATGAGGTTTGTTGTCTGCTTGCAAACGTAAGAAGTAAAAGGCATTAGCTGGTATTAGTAAACGCTGCTCAGCCTGACCGATCACGTCGAAGCAATCTAACCTGGGTTGTCTCCTCTAAAAGACTCGCTGTTCATTATGCTCACACAAAGGTGTGTGCATGTAAGGAACCACGTGCATGTAGTATGAATAGTGATACACGATGTGCTGAAAAGGCAGTTTGACCTCCTGTCAAACCAGAGCCTTTGTTATCTTTCAAAAAAAGAAAAAGGTGACTTTGTACCATTTGCTGATAAAACAAGAAAATCTGAGCTTGCTCTCTTTACCTAATAACCTTTTATTCCCATTCCTTAAATACGTGCAGATTTTGTCTCTTTTATTTAAAACTGTCTAACATTTGTAGTTCAGTGCATGCGGTGTGAACTTTCACTGTATGTGGGTGTGGGGATGGGCTGTACTTTGTTCTGAGTCTGAAAGCACAATAAAGGCCAACAGGCCAACAATTCTAGTAGGATTAGTGAGGATGGGAGTGTGTCCAAATCAAGCTGCTGCTTTCTGTCTCTGCATAGGTAACAGATGTTAAAAACGTGTTGTTTCACCTGAAAGCCAGTGTGGGGAACATGATTGCTTCCTAAAATCAGGAGGAAACAGAAAAATGATCCTCTGCAGCACAGCCTGTCTCCTTCTTTGGCAAAACAAGGAGAAATGTCTAAATACCATTGTTTTCTTAGCTCTACTCCTAGTTGAGCAAACACTGCCTTGTTGTACTAACTCATCCTTGTTAGTGATCTTTATTTTTACTTCTTTGAGGAGACAGGCCAAGTAAATCCCTCATGAATCATATAATATAAATGTGTCTTCTTCTCCCTGTATCAGCCAAAGGTCCTGCAGCAGTAGATTATGTGTGGAGGAGTCAGGGAGGTCTCCTTCTACAGCCAGCTGCCTTAAGAGGGATGAGCCAGACCCTCTGTCCAATGGCAGACAACTTGGCGTCGGGGGGATCTCACTGTAGTCATGTTATTGTGTTGGTGTTGGCCAGTGCCCCCCCCCCCCCCCCCCCCCCCCCCCCCCCGCTGTGCATTGAATGAATGCTCCACCAAGTTTCTCATTGTACTTCTGTTGTGCTGGAATTCCCTTAGCATTTTTCCTTACTCTGCCTTTCTCCTTCACTCTTTATTGCTCTAGCTTTCACCACCTGCTGTTGTAGCTCAGTGCTACCTGCACTGGTTCTCTTGGTTTTGATGAAAAAGATTATGGAATTGCTGGGTTTCACTCACGTGACTAGCGTGACGTCACAACCGCGCGAAATTTGAAGTGGGGGGCAGGAAGTGTTTTGCTGCGCAACAGAACACAACGCGATGGAGGACAGCGAGTATACAAAGGCTTTAAATGGACAGGCACAGACGCGATATCGCCAAAAATTACAACTTCATTTAGGGTATGATCCAAACTTTTTGAAAAAGTTGGACTTTTCTTACAACCTTGAGGATTTACCCAGTGTTGAAGCTATCGACATAACAAACTACCTCGTGCTACAAACTTCTTATTATACGGCAAACCAAATGAAAGCCTTCAAAAGCCTGGGAGCCTACAACAATTTTATTTCGGTTTGGGTTAACCATTTTGGA